CACACTACATTGTATAAAGCTAGTATATGAATATAACTTCTGTTAATGTCAGTTTAAAAAATTAAAACTTAATACTACCAAAATATTTCATGAAAAATTCACATGCAACAACAGTTTGACAGCACCTGGATAGTATCATTATAAATTAATTTTTATATGAAGCTCAAAACATCTAGGTAAACAAATAAGAAATAAATAAGTGGTAGATTTTTCAAAGTTTATAAATCACATTCTATTTGTTATGATAGTAATTATAGCAATGATAAACCAGACATTGTTCTAATTAACCCATTTCATTCCCATAACTCTCTGAGATAGGTACAGTTATTTTTCCTATTTGACAGGTGAAGAAATCAGGATGAAAATTAAAGAAACTTGCCCAAGGTCCCATAGCTAGAAGGTAGTAGGGTCAGAATTTATGCTCAGGCATTGTTATTCAGGAATCTGCGCTCTTGACCATTACTCTATACTGCATCTCAGGATTTAGAAAGAAAAGTTAACTATTTAGCACCTATTATATGTCATACTCTAATAAAATATCTTATTTGATTTACTTCTCTCTAAATATTTTGGGTCAGTTTCCACCATTCCAATGTTGTACATGATTTTTTAAAAAAAGAAAGAAAAACAAGGGTAAGAAAAGTTAAATAACTTTCTAAATAGTGAGACTATTAAGTGAGGACTTCTAAAGTTAAAAGCATATGGTAGGCCCAATTTTCCAAAATTTTTTGTGCAGAAGTTGTACCAACTCTCAGGTATTTACCTTGCTTTCGATTTAATCAGAAAAATAAAAGCAATTAGAAGAGAACTAAAGTTCTCACAGCATCTAAACTGCCTAAAAGATTTTATACCTTTCACTCTCCTGAAACTATTTTGAACAAGGTCACCAATGAATTGTACATTGCCAAATCCAATGACCGCTCCTCACACCTCGTCGTAGGTGACCTATTCACATGTAGGTTATCACTCTATCTTCCTTCCGAGACTTTCTTTCCTTACATTGCGGATCACCTACAATCTCCTACATTTTTCTGTTTCACTGGTTGCCATTCTCTGCATGTTTGTCATCTTCTCTCAACCAATTGAAGTTGTGGTGGCCTCTTTTCTTCTCTATCTGCACTCTCTCCTTTTGGAGTGCAGTCTCATAACTTTAAACATCATTTATCCACTGAGAATTCCCAAAATGTTATCTTAGTCTGACCTCTGACCTATACACCATGTAGGTCCACCAGGTCTGTATATCCACAGCTTTTTGATGTCTATAAGAAATCTCAAACTTTACTTGAGGCAAAACTGAATTTGAGATTGGACTGACCTCCGGCCTTCACTTCTCACGATTTCCCCTTCCTGGTTAACACCAGTCCTTCAGTTGCTCAAGTCAAGAATCTTAGAATCCTTGATGCCTCTCTTTCACTCACACCCCACATCTAATCCCTCACCTAATTCGCGGCCTCTTCCTTTAAAATATATCGAGGATCGAGGCATTTCTCCCCATCTCCATTGCTATCACCTGGCCCAGGCCACAGTGATCTCTTGCCTATATTCCTACAATACCCTATTGTCTCCTTACACCCTCCTTGCAACATAGCAGCCAAAATAATCCTGAAACAAATCAGATCATGTAATTCCTTGGCTCAAAAGTAGTGTCTTGTGTCATTTAAAATAATAGCCACAGCCTTCAATAATGGTCTACAAGGCTTTATATAATCTACCTTATTTTCCATTGTCTTAGTCCTTCCTTATTTAATGGTCCCCTTGTTATTCTTTAATTCTATTAATATGTTAGGTACATTCTCCCCTCAGCGTCTTTGTATTTGCTGGTCCTTCTGCCTGAAACTGTCATTTTGGTCCTCTGCATTGTTTATTCTCTCAATTTCTC